TATGAAATTTTAATAAAACTCCATATAACCAATACTTTTTCTATAACTTCAATAACTTGAAAAAACTAACTATCGTTACATAATAATGGATTAGTGATTTAATTCTTTAATTAATAAAAATCACATCATCTTTAACTGTGTAAATACATAATATAGGCAACTTATATTTAGAATTTTTTATGCCTGCTCATTTAAAAAATATGTCGATCATTAAACAATTGAATAATTCCGTGAAAAAGTTTTATATTTAAAAAGTGATTATCACATTATTACAATTATTTCATAATACATGTTTTTGCCTACATAAAATAGCTATAATAATATAGCTTGAAAAAATGTTACCAATGCTTATACATTTCATATATATGGAAATATCACAATACCATTCAATAATTGCTTCGTGCAAACAAAAATTGTTCCCAATTACAATTATACATTACCTGTAAAATTATAAGGGCTTGAGAATTGATAATTTTTTTCTGCTCAATCTTGATTATCTAATATATATGTTAACGTAATTTAGTGCAGTAATTTATGTTAAAATGCAAATCTCATTAATTCTTAAAATGAATAGAAAATTTGATATATAAACAATTTTTTCTTTATGAGCATATTTTTCAAATTCTATTTATATAAAAGAAAGTTTTACATTGGTGAAAAATATAATATCTATGTACTTACCTGAAAAATAAAATACCTAACATATATAAATACGAATTATTTATTTTATAACGTAATATTAGCATTTAAATTAAGTTTATAAATAAATTCAATTCAATTTAAAAAAAAAATGCAACATTTTAAATCCTATATTTATATTTATTTATTTCCTATATTTTACACTCACGTCGATTCAAATTTTAATGATCGCGATTACAGACTCTTTTTCACAGGCATAATACTTAATTTATATAAAATATTTATTATATTAATAATAAAGTGATTAAATAGTAATTATAAAAAATGAAATTAAAAGCATAAATACGTATTCTAATACTTGCATATTGTTAACTTACATTTTTTTTTTAATAAAAATGAATATATTGATATTTGATAAATATTAAATAAGATCAAGTTAGGTATATATATATATATATATATATATATATATATATATATATATATAAATATATTTTAGTGTGTTTTTATAAACAAATATAAAAATATATATATTAAAATATTTTATCGTATGTTTTTAAACTGAAATCTAAAAACAAAATTGAACATCATCGATTGACAATAATTTATTAGAAGATGTCAATAAATCGACGAATTTTATGAAAATACAGTTTTATTAATAATATAATTTTTAAAATAATATTTTTATTATTTTGTAACATAAACCCAAGTTAATAAAAAAATCAATGCTGTACAATATTAAATATATTTTCTTAATACTGGATTATTTTATCAGGTATATTAAACGAGTAAATTGATAAATTTTAATTTAATTTTGTCATATATTATAGAATTTCAGAGAAAAAATATAAATCCATTATTGATCTTACTTTAATAAATATGATGATTGGATTTTTATAAGCTACCAAAATTTAATAATAAAGTCAATATAATAAAATTGTTTAATCATCGATGTAAATTTTATTAATCATAATATATAAATAATCATACGCTGACAATAAATGAAACAATAAATTTTTTAATATTAATTTATAAAAATATTATGTATTTATATAAATGAATATTATCGTTGATTTCAAGTTTGTTATTTAATATTTAATTATTTGTATTTATACAAATAAACTATTACGAACAGATGAACTTACGAAAATAAGATCATTTCATAGAAAATATGTGAATTTACTATGACATATAATTTATATTGAATTGTTTATGTTATATTTATATTATACATGATGTTGCATATTTATCAGATAAAAAATAATTAATGGAATAATTTACATTTTCCAACGTAAATTAATGTTGACAAATCTGATTCACAGTCGTTATTATAATCGCAATCGCTGACACCAAACTAAGGTTGATTAATTATATAATGAAAAAGAACAAACTGTAATTATACAATGTTTTACTCTATTCATATCTATATTTATATCGTTTATACAGTCATGTTGTTTATAATGTTTCTACAGATACGGATACTCCAAAGTAAATGTAAAATTTTCCATGTAATTATTATGTGCAACTATTATCGGTAAAAATCTGACAGATCCACGTTTATTTATTACTTATATTTTTCGTAAACATACAAACGTATTTCATGATAACATGTTTCGGGAGCAAAAATTTTAAACTGATGCATCGCTATGCTTGATAATACAATTACATAAGTTAATAATACGTTTTTAATAGCTATTCAACATAAACGTTGCAAGAGTGCAAAGAAAGAGATTGGCCATTAACCCTCTTACGCGGTGTGCCGTGACTCATGAATGTGGTCATAGCTTTGACCAAAAAAAAAAAGTTTACTTTGCTTGATTTATAGCACATTACTATTCAGGCAATTAAGAATAATAATATTCTGTCTGGATAATCGTTTGTTATTTTTGTTTTTGTTTTTCTTTTTGTTTTTGTTTTTTGTTTTTGTTTTTTGTTTTTTGTTTTTTGTTTTTTTGTTCTTTTGTTTTTTTTTCTTCAACAATATTAACAATAGTCCGTTGAATTGATGAGCATAGTTTTAAAATTCTTAAAAAAAATACCCGTACAAAATACTCAAGTAGATGTGTGAAATAATTTTGCGAAAAATTTTAAATATACAGCTGATTAAATAATAACGTTTAAAACAAATTATTCGAAATTACATTTACAATTATTGTTTATTTGTATTAATTGTAGCAATTAAATAAATGTAAGTGTCTTATTGAAGGAGAAATTAATTGACAAAGACGTTTAAGAGTTAATTATTATACAAACGAAAAATATACTTCATAGGTATAATAGGCATTGTACATACACATATGCATTCATACATATATATATATATATATATATATATATATATATAATTGTGAAGTTAATTTTTTGTTATATTTCCACTTATATCCGGTTCAAATATTAACAGAAAGTAATAGCTTTCTTCATCAAGTTAATAACTCGTATAAAATAGAAAATTAAAAGTAACCTATCTGTAACAATCTCTATATCGATTAATGACTATTTACTGTACATTGTTTTAATCGTATAAATTAATCAATTTTGTTTACATTTACTTATTAGTTGTTATATGATAACGAATGTCTAATTTTATAATTTAATTGTACAATTGAACACACGAAGTACCAACGCGCAAGGGGCCAACGTCAATGAGCAACAAATATAGATGCATAAACGTATTTTCCCCTTAGATATTTATAACTTTAACCTCATCGTATTTTAATATTCTAGCATTTATCATTCCATGCAATTTAACATCGAAATCGAAATTTGACGTAGAAACACTTGAATCCATCGAGTCCCTGTCTGAAGAGAACGTATAGGCAGGAGAAAGCAGTAAGCGTATTACCGGATACGAAGTGTCTTAGATTAGCCTCCCCCAACAAGAGAAGCCATTTACGCACAGCAATCTCCCGCTTTCCCTCCTTCCGCTACTCAATTCCGTTAATACGCTCTCTCTCTCTCTCTCTCTCTCTCTCTCTCTCTATCTCTCTCTCTCTCTCTCTCTCTCCCTTCCTCTCTTCCTTTAATATCTTTCATCAATTTTTTTTTTACTCAAAGCTTATTTATCTACCCAGATGAGGATCTAATATAATGATGTCGACGAGAATTTATTGGAGAAAGGTGAAGAAAGTTTAATCTACTGCACGTTTGTAAAAAATATGTTCATATACTACCCATCGTCCACCATCCACTCCTTTCTCACTTTCCCACAGTATGAACAAAAATTCACATACTACTATTGAAAATATCAATATTAATCTATCAATATCTTTTTCAAAACTCCGTGTTGTTGAAATTGTAAGAAGACGCAATTAATCTTCAAAAGTCTCTAAGTTTTTGCGTATAACACGTGGCGCTGTATATTTGTCAACGACTAATAAAAAAAACTTAATTAAATGCAACTTAATATAATTGTATATTAGTCAAACAAATAATCTAAAATCATATTTAAGTATCTATTTGCAATACAAAAATTAATTAATTTAATAAGACTGCGTTATAGAGATAAAATGAAAATGAAAAAATCATCTATTACGCATAATAATTATAAAACTGTGTATTAATCATTCGTGTCTTTCTTTATATTAGAATTACGTACCTTTGTTGCAATTTGCATAGAATATTTGGCATAAGTGATATTAATATCGATCAACAAATGTTAATATATGGAATATTATTAAATCGTAAAGCATAACAGGGCAAAGAGTAATAATGAATATTTCATTGAAAAAGAGAAAAAAATGCTTGTAATATCGACAGTCTTGAAATCGCTCGAAAGCAGCTCGAGAAGATGAATTTGAGTTCTCTATCGAGCATTTAATAATTAAAGTTACGATCGCTAATTAATTATTTCGTATAATTGTAATTATCGTGAGACTATCGATATTTAGATAAAATTCTAGAGTTGTATTTCTGCCGCATATTGCGCAATGGCAAACGAACATCGTGTAGTATAAGTTTTAAAATGAAAAATAAAGGATAGATGTGATAAAATTTCAACCCTCGAGCTAACTTGATTCGCCGACTCTTAATGTCAGTACATTATCAGTTTCTTGTTCGGTAAGTTGGGTATGAAGTAAGTTGAATGCGTATACAGAGTATACAGAATACGACATGAGCATTTAAAATATTATACATCGACTTTTATTGACATTACAAATGGTCTGAATACAAGAAGGAAGTTTACGACGAACCATTCAAATTAATTTAAATCTATTGAAATCATTTAAACGTCTTGGAACTTAAATTCTTCTTTTTATTCTTTGTTGTTGTTGTCGTTGTCGTCGTCGTCGTCGTCGTCGTCGTCGTCGTCGTCGTCGTCGTCGTCGTCATCGTTGTTGTTGTTGTTGTTGTTTTGTTTATAACTTATTGAACACAAATGTTTGTAAATTATTGTAAAAATTACTCAGAATATGTAATAATCAAGGAAAATTACAGATAGTGATTCGAAATAAATGATAAATGTCGAACTTATGTAGAACTCATTCGAAAATTACGAATAACATATACGCACATAATATATGGTTTTATTATCGCAAATGTTGCTTGTTAGCCTTCTCCGTGCCGTCCTCCTTCTCTTTCATTCGTCCATTAATCTATTGCGCTTAAAGAAAACTTGGGTAGTGAAAGAGGCTACTATCGGAAGGACAATGAATAAGGATGAGAGGATCGTGGAGATGGAGGTTGATATGCCTTTGAGGGAGAAGTCCGTTTATCCCCATTTCTGGAAGAGTCCGACCCGTTGGCATCGGCAGTTGGAGCCCCAGAGATTACAGCGGCAGCTCGAGCTGAAGCAACAGTCGTTGGGCCGGTGATCACAGTTTCCATTGCGTCGAACGCATGCGCGCCTGAACATAGAGATCCACGAGGCACGTCTATTCGAGATTAAGGAAATCGAGAGAGGCTCTTTCGACGAATATTTACACAGCGAGACATCCAGTAATTTAATTTTAATTGGCACACGGAAATAACATTCAACAATTGTTCCGAGCGGAAATTCAAAGTTTCTTTCTTTCTTTTCTTTTTTTTTTTTTTTTTTTTTTTTTTTTTGTTTTTCATGTTCTTTTTGTTCTTATTGTTCCTTATGTTCCTTTTATAGTTTTCAATATTAGTTGCGTGAGTGAGTATATATGAGAGAAATTTATGAGATTCTAGTTTACTCGATAGAAATTCTATTTACTCGATAAAATAACGCTATAATTTCTCAAGAAATACAATTCTGCGTAGAATATTTATTTATAGATCTGCAAGCAGATAGATTTGCTTTTGAAAATATGATGATTATGCATTTAAAGACAACGCTAATGTGTCGAGGACAGCAAGTAAAGTCAAAAATTTTAATTCGATAATTACATTTACATTATTTCTAAATCACTAGAAATGTCAGTTCTTAAAAAGCAAAATTATTATTAATGTTGACTTTCGGAATTTTTATGTATTTCATTTTGAGAATATTTTAATATTATATGGGCATATTAAAAGTAAACCTCAGATGGAAGAGATTTTCATCCAATGAATTCGGAAGTTCGAAGAAGTTACATATTATTTGCATTAATGACTATTTAAAATACAAACCCCTCTAAAATTTCATATAAATCTGTTCTTATACAATTAAATTGATATCAATGGAAAATAATAACTTTTGTAGCTTATGTTATTATAAAATAAAAGTTATTACATAACTTGTTATCGTTGTACGTGAGTCTAACTTAATGAAAAATTACAAAATTAGATTAATTTTGTACAATTATAATGTTAATAATTATAATAATGTTACAATTAATTATTGCACAGAATTAATTATGAATGAATTGTAATAATATTAAAAAGTAATATGTTATTGGACATAAACTACATTTATCAAGATTTAATTAAAACAACTAACATCACAAATTCGCTTGGATGATAATTCACATTAACTTTGAATTTCAACTCGGAAAATACGTATATCAACTTATTCACGTATATAGCTATAAAGACAAAAACAAAAAACAAAAACAAAAAAAAATAAGAAAAAAAAAAACAAAAATAATATTATTCTTATATCATTATCGATTATATTGTATTGTATAAACGAAATCATAAGACTAAATTATGTTTTACAAAATATATTCAGTAATAAAAATTTGTAATAATTATGCATACATAAAGAACGTTACACCTCAAGAAAATAAATACATTTATATAATGATCTTTGTATAATAAATAACTCGTATGAAGTGAAAAGGTACTAAAACTTCATTCGGGTGAAAAACTTTTTCATGCCTATATTTTATACGAGTAGAAAATCGTTTTTAATATTTTATCGTTACACTTAAATCAAAGATATTTTTTGCGCTCAACAATATATTTTCATTCTCGTAAATTTAAAAATAAAGATTTATGATATTAGAGGATTTGCCATGCACATTTACTCTCGTAAATCTGGTCATAGAAATTATATGCTTACTTTTGTTGAACAGCATGCATTAGATTCTCCAATGTATTGTCCGAATAGTCTATGTCCGACGTAAAAGCTTCTTCGTCTACAAAATAATGAATAAATATTATGTTCGAAATATGTATTGTATTAAAGGACACAAAAACCTTTTCCATTTTTTCATAATCTGTTAATACTTTAATTTTCAATAATAAAATTTACATTTAATATAACCTTATAAACTAATCTATATATATAAATTATAATATACTGTTAAAAGTGTTTTACTTACATCAATTATTTAAAATAACTTTCATATATTTAATAACTATACGAATATCAAATTACCAAGTTCATAAAATCTTGTATTTAATATTTAAATGAAATAAATGTAATGATAAAACAACTAGATAAGATAAAACTACATTCGTATATAAATGTTCAAACAAATTCTTAAACATAACTAAACAAGAATAAAAAAAAATTTGAAATGATTCTACACGAATATTTTATGCTTATATCTACGCTTGTAAACTTTATGATTTATGCTTGAATTTGCTTGAATATAGGAGATTTTTACTTTCTTCTTGATTTACAAATTGCTACACATGTATAAAATTAACATAAATTCAATGAAATAATATATCATTTTGTGAAATAATCCAATTTCTCGCTCTCTCTCTAACTTTTATTATATGTATACGTATATGTTCTTATAAGCACTACGCATACCATTAAATCAATTGCTTGAAAATTTGAAAACATCACGAATCAGACAATATTAACCGTTAAAACAAAATTTATAGGTGAGAAAAAAAAATTGTCAAAACCTACCGAAATTCTATAGAGATATATAGATATTTAAGTAGTTGGACGATACTTTTTTATATAATTCTTATAAAAAATTGTATATTTATATTATTTCTATTGTATCGATTATCAATAATTAAGAGAAATGTAATAAGACGATTAATTTTATTCTAAATATTTGAACTTTAAAATTAAAATAGAGAATATTACGACAATATTTTAACATATAAAGAAATTTATTTACAAATATATATATATATATATATATATATATATATATATATGGTGTATATAAACGGTTTAATATAATCCCATAAGAAAAGTACAAAATATTTTCTCTAAAGGAATTTACTTCACGTGTTTTTACTCCAATTATTTAAAAATTTCACTTAATAATTTGATAATATCGTAATTAAGTAAAATTTATTTAAAACTGAATCTATATCATTAATCTAGTAAAATTTATTTATTTAAATTTTTCTGTTTATTAATTTCAAAATATTCTTTCTTTATTATATAAACTTAACGGATTAAATAAGGATTATTTGAATACAGTATAAAAATAATATTAATATTTCATATTATATTTATTTACATTACTTTACTACGAAAATAAATAATATAAACTGATAAACATATATATTCAGCAAATATATATTATGATTATACGATAATGTTTAGTTTTTTCTTTTTTTCTGTATAAATAAATTCGACACGTTTTACGTTAATACGTTATCATGCACATATTCATATATTCATTCATACATAGTAAAAACTATCTGATAATTTCTTTATATTGATTTAGATGTTATCTAAATTATATAATATTTACATGTCATCTGAAATTATATAAAAATATAATACTTGTAATTTTAGAATTAATTTTTAATATGTATAAAAAAATATAACACAAAAAAGTAAAATGAAATTTAAAAAATTATTTTGTAAAAGTATTATTATTATTATTATTATTATGTTAAAATAAATTCTTTACAAGTTTAATTAAATTTAACGTATTTCTCGTAATTATTTCATTCTCTTTTACTAGATTTCATTATAGGTTCATAATTAAATTCGTATACCGTGAGGTGTTTGTTATGATATATTATAATTGATAATAACTGCCTAAAAATATTTCGTATTAAAGCTAATTCACTATTCTTACTATAATATACTAAACATAATAATTAAATTATATGGTTGTGATACCATCAGCAAACGAATATAACATATTTTCCCCAACATAGTTTCAAATGATTTTATTACGATTTAACGTGAAACGCATAAAGATTATTATTTTTTTCCAATACATTAAGAATCGTAATAAATACACATTGTCATATCAATAAAACTAACATGAAATCAAATATTTAACTAAAATAATAAAATGGTCATCATTAAATCACTGAGCTACTATTTAAATAATATAAAATATTTTAAATATATGTCAATATATATTTTATTATTAATGCGTTTAATTTGTAAATAAATATAATAAGAGATGAGTTTACACAAAGAAACCACTTCAACCTATAAGCGAAATAAGCGAAACATTTTTGTTTATTTTTATCTTTTATTTAATTTTTTTTTTTTTTATTCTTTTATATTCTTTTATTTTTTTTTTATTCTTTTTTTTTTTTTTATTTTTATTTTTATTTTTTTTTTTTTTTTTAGAAATCACAGTTAAAAACATAATACAACTGAAAAATTAGATTCATTTAAAATATAAACTCTTATAGATTTATTACATGCAATATTTTATATATTTAATCAATTTCTTGGCAACTTTTAGTATTTCATATCTGTTACTCTGTCATTAGATTCATTAATTTTATTTTATCAATACCTATTTTAAATTAATACTACTCTAATACATTTCAACGATATCATTTGTTCCACTATCATTTATCACTTTTGTGTAACTTTTTTTTCTCTAACATTAGATTATTGGAATTTTTAATAAATCTAATTCAAGTTTGTAAATTAAATAATAAATTTTCATATAACATTTCGTTCGATAAAATATTTTCCTAACAATATTATCATTAATGAATGTACTAAAACCATCTAAAAATAAATAGAGATACATTAAAATATATATAGTAAAAGTTGTTTAATTTTAGTCATATCAACATTGCATTCAAATTATTTTTAATTTTTTTAAATTTGGGTTATTAATTTTTTAGAATAATTTTAACAATTATTATAATATGTATAATTCGTAATATGTAAATATAATCCATGTTGTTAGCATTCATTTATAGAGAGAACAATTGTATAGAATAGAAATTTAATAATTAATTTGTTGATACATATTAATACTATTTTTCATGATTGATATAATAAATGAATCGATAAATTATTGATTTACTTTAGAAAGCAAAAGAAGAACAATATTAATGTTTATTAACTTGATAATGTTTATTAATTTGATAGTGCTTGTTAGAAATTATTTCTTCTTAGCTGTCAATATTTCCAAAACTTGTCATATACTGTGTTATTTTCAATTTTTCACTGTCCGTTATGCAAAATATTTTAATTGATTTCTATTTTTCATAAATTTAGATTTAGTTTCATAATAGTAAAAAATACAAGATTTTATTTTATGAAATTATAATTATTTTAGTTGCTTCGGTAATACTTTCATGCTGAAAATAAGATATCAATCAATTATCTTAAAAATGTTTAAATCAAATATCTAATTATTAATTTACATGATTTCGTTTGTAATGATATAATAACGTGCTTTAAACACATGAAAAATGTCTATAATAGATTTATTGAAAATCACTACCCTCGAAATATTATCAATTTCAAATTAAATCAAATTTAAAATACAACTATTTAAACACAGCATACAACCTACACAATTTATATCATTGAACATACATTCATGTACCATTCGAATGCTTTTAAAATAGCATCACAAGCGTTCAAATGTAAAACCTCTTCAATTATAATAAATGAACTAGCAAAAGTTTATGGCTTAATTCTATAAATACCTGCTGTAATTTGAGGATGGATCGTACATAACAATTATAATGACATAAAACTGTTAAAAATGACCGAATGAATCATTAAAGTAAATGAAATATTTTTATGAGCAGTTAATTTTTAAACATATTATTATTAATAAATAATTTATCTGTATTGCAGTATATAATCAATTAAATATCAAATATTAGTATATATGAATAGAAGTATGATGAAGAGTTTTGTTATTAATCAATCTAGTAATCACAGATGAATAACGTAAACGCGAAGAAAGGGGCGAAGCCCACGACCTGCCCAATATAACTTGACACTATTTATTTATAATCTCATCTAATAATTATCCGCAAATCGATAATAATAATGTTAAACAAGAATCCTCACCATCATCGAAAAACGGACCGGCGCTGATGCTCTCGGCAAAGACGAAAATGCCGAGACAAATAAATCCGATAAAACCAATCTTCATATTCTTCACTGTGTTTGAAATTTTTTTCTGCCTAAGATCTCGAAATGTCTTCTTGTACTCGATATGATATTACTATTGAATGAACGACGGATAAGAATAAAGAAGAATCACCGGCGTAGATAGTACGTTATTCTTATCCCTTGCGCTATTCGCTATCTCCCTCCCACTCTCTCTCTCTCACTCTCTCTCTCTCTCTCTCTCTCTCTCTCTCTCTCTCTCTCTCTCTCTATTTATCTATTTTTCTCTTTATTTTATTTCATCCCAGGATGCTTGGCTGGCAACGGATGCGAGTGACGCACTGGCAGGTTGGCGAGACGTTTATATAGACGAAGGAGGCGTGGCGCATATACGGCGCGCAGTACGGCGACGCCGGCTAGAGAGGCAGAGAGAGGAGGAAATGTACTAAGAGTAGCAAAAGACTCAGGGCAAGGAAACCAATGAACAATGAGAAGGAATGAGGTGAAGAAAAGGACTCCCAAGAGGATTAATTACGTAATTAATTCAGGACACTTTTTCATTTCGTCTTTTTCTCAAATTGCTTCATTCTTCGGACAATAAGTTGAAATATATTTGTCAGTGAAGAATTCCCTTATTTATCTTGCATTTATCAATAAATACTTGGACTGGCTTTCAATCAGTTATGTATAATACAAAAAAAAAAAAAAAAAAAAAAGTACTTGTTACTGGTTGATTTATGGATATTTATCAATAAGTTGCTTCTCTTTCTCTACAGCTTTACATTATTAATTAGAAAATTGTCAAGGGCATTCATTTAACAAAGCTTTATGTTTACAATTATTGATTTATTTCAATTATACTTGTGTGTTTATTATAACATATTAACGTAACGCAAAACAGTCGTTGCAAATATTTCTGTTCAATTATTACATATTTTATAAGCTATTCAAATATTTTAAAATTCTTTCTAAATATTTCGGTTGATTTAATATTAAACCGGCATTCCATAAAATCAATAAATTTATAATTGAAACAATAAAATAGATTTCACTTTTTAATTAGGTAATACGAATTTTTTTTTTTATCTGTCTATCAAATTTAGAAAACTTTTTAAATTTTTCAAAAAGAAAGATATATTATATTTAAGTTTAGTGAATGAACATAATTGTTCTAAATTGTTTGAAATATTACACATTGTCAATAAGGAAATTAACACTCGAAACTTGTACTACATTAATAACATTAATATATTCTTTGTCATTATTCCGATTATTTATTATTTTTTCTACATATATTGGCTTATAGAATACTCATTGCCGAACCTTACATACGTTTTCACTTAAAATAAACAAGAGAAAAATAAAAATATAGTAAAAATATATTTCTTAACATATACTATAAACATGTTTTAAAAACTTTTATCCGAATAAGCGGAATATATAGTTATTGATGCGAAGATGAACAAGTGAAAATATAACCTATTTAACTATGAAATCATGTTCAGTTGTAAAAATATGACTATCGAATCATTAATTACAATTAATTTATTTCTATATTTTTTATTTTTATTTTAATCGGCAGGATATAAATTATTTTATAAATTTCTTATAAGTTTATTTAAGATTCAAATTCAATTACTTAAAATATCGATAGAATATTTTATTTTATTAGCTTTATTTTTATTTGTCTTGTTGAAGTTAAGTATTATTTAATTTAATACAATCGTTACAATAATAATACAACAATATTTATAGAAGTTAACAAACATAGTATGAAAAATAATATAAACATTATTATGCATATCAAAATTTTAATTATCATACAATTATTAATAATTTTCAATATATTAGAGGAAATAATTTATAATATTCTTCAATTAAACAATAATAAATCATAATATGTATACTTATATTTTGTTAAAGTTAAATCAGTAGTTGATATCAGTAACATGTCAGACGCTAATCTGTACATACAATTTGTGTAATTAGGAATACAAAAGATCTAAATGTAATAATAAAATATAAAAAATATAATTTATAATTGAAGATAATCTTAAAGACTAAACCAAGACGTAATGAATAAAAAATTATTTATTACAAAATGTACATATAAACATTTTGTTTACGGCATCAGAATTTAATCAATATTTCTTATTAATTCTAATGTTTATAAAAAAAAAAAAGTATATAGATAGCTTATATTATAGATATTCTAAATTATTATCTATGAATCTAAAATTTCTAGCTACTCGCCAGCTAATAAGAATGATCAAATAATAGAATATTCGAATACACACACACACATATATATATATATATATATATATATATATATATATATATATAAACATAACGATCCAAGGATAAAATTGTTTTGAAAGGAAGAAAAAGAATAATTTCAAATATATTAACCAATGCCGAATATCTAAAATCAACCTCCATTCATTCATATTCCTTTGTTCCGTCTACATTCTCGCAACGTTTCACATGATCTCTTCGTATCTCTCTTGGACTTTCACTTTCTTTGTTACTGTAGGGGAAGTTCGTCGAAGCGATTCATATACACATACCACGAATCACTGCTTTATATATAGAAAATAGCGTCTTATTATTGAAACTGCTATAACGAGAAAAAATGAGCAACAAGTTTCTTCTTGACGTCATAGTAATCTGAATATATACATAGAATCAGAATATATATATATATATATATATATATATATAGAGTTGTACGTATTATTAAACACATTAAAGCATCAAAGATTCTGTATTTAATAGTAATATCAAAATTCTATTGGAATTATTGTAATAAGTTATTTTCTTGCTACATATTGGCTGCTCAAAGTAAGACTAAAAGACCTAAGAAATTATTACGTTTATAAAATATAATTGAATAATTTATTATAAATGGATTAAAATATGAATTTTCATAAATCTTATTATTAATACTATAAAATATATCAATATTTTCGAAAAAAATATATATAAACTAATACGATTCTCTCGACTAATTTATTTTTCTAATTAATATTTGTATTTATAGAATTTATGATAAATAAATAAGATTAAAAATTATCTTTATAGATGATTTTCTAAATTTTTTAAATATGAAATTACAGTTTTTTAATCTATAATATGTTATAAAATATAGGAATATTCGGACAATGCAATATTAAGTTTACAATATAAATTAAAAAATATCTCAACAGATGTATAAATTGTACTATTAATGTTCATAATTAGTTTGTTTTTATATTAATTACAATAATATATAGTAATGATGATATTATTAGTTACAAATATAAAATTTTAATTTTTAATTATTAAATTTTTTTTAAAAATGTAATAGTACTACTTTTGATAGATTTAGATTTATATTTGCTTTAATGTGTAAGTGTATTGGTGTCAATATAACAGTTCAACATACTTTTATAAATTATTGTATATTGATAAATGAACGTATCATTTATTTTATCAATACATATCAATATTAACACACATTAATCAAAAATATGGTTATAATAACATTTTATCTCTAAAGGAATATTCAATAGAGGATATTCAATTTTATTCAGTTTTATTGAATGTCTGCGAAATATGAAAAAATTTATTGAAGGATTCGATGAAAATGTAATTAATAAAAATATTTTATTTCATTCGAAAGTGTGGTTATACAATGAAATCTATTAGCTAAATAATCATATGTATTGAGAACATATATTATGTAATCAAAGCTAAACTCTATAAATAGCCAAATTCTCATATATAAAAAATAATTATTTAAATATTTATAGTATTAACATCAAGCGTATACATTAAAGTCTATTTGATAAATCATTTAATTTAATTAATTCTGACGTCTAATTTGAAATTATAAAATAATTTTCTTAAAAATACATGTAATGAAAAATATTATTAATGGTAAATATAGTCGTATCTATTAATAAATAGAGCACAATTTATAAGTGAGATATTTATATTTGAAAATAAAGACGCAACAAATTATAAAATTGTAAAATTACAAAATTAAAACATTTTATTCAAATGTTGCATTTTTATTTGTATATTAGTAAATTATAATTTTTAAATAAAAAATATATCAAAAATTACAAAAAGAATAAATTCAGTTTATACTTTTTTTTTTTAGAATTTCTAATGTTAATTAAAAAATTGTTGTATAATAAACCATAACATACAAAAATTATAATATTTCTTAACTGTTATTTGTAAATATTTTATTACATCTTTATTATTGTTGTTAAATTATTATTATGTTGCCATTTATTATTATTATAATAAAATAATATTGTTTATAATGTTATTTATGATAGAATTATATTTTCAATATTAATCACTTAAAGTATACTGTAAGTGTTATATAAAGTTGAAATTAACTAATATTCATATCAAAATTTTTCATAATATTTTATGTTTCAACTACAATATTCAGTCTTAGCCATTAAAAAATTTGATACCTGCAATCGAAATATTTCTAATATTATAAAATCTCGATATAGTTATAAAAAATATGCTATAATTTTATAATATTTATTGGAAAGGTATTATTTTACATCCAAAATAATTCAGATATAAATATTTTATATACAAGCTCAAATTAAGCTATTTAATTATTTTTGTAGTATTTCCATTAATGTTTCTCAGAAAAATAATTAATGAACCAAATATGCTGTTATTAGATTAAAACTTTTAAAAGAGAAATTACTTAAGTATAAAAAACTTATTTATATTTATATTATATTCTAAAATATATAAAATATTTATCATGTATAGTATTTAACATGAAATAATTATAATTATAATTAACATAACATTAAATTATTATATTTATTTAAATAATATACATATATATATATATATAAGAATATATTTCAATATAATGTTGATAATTATCTAATTAGACTGAAACTTATTTATTATTTTAATATATTTATAGTTTTGTTATAAAGACATAATGTGTAATCAAAAAGAAATCACTGCCACCATTGTATTAATAAATGAAACTTAGAATTTTGTAATTATTAAAATAATAAACAAATACTGATATCAATTAGAATACGTAAAGCTTTTATTTCCAATTCAATTATGAAATATTATCATTTTATTTCTACTTGGCATACATTAATCAAATCTATTAAAATAGGCGACTTTCGATGAGTTTTATAAGTGAAGAAAAAAGAAATTAAATTAAAAACATATGACATCAAGAACGATTTATGATTTCATAAGTTAATAAATCAATTTATCTGAATTATTCCTCGGAATGCATAGAAAATTCATTTTTATGCCGTAATAAATTAAGAATATATGTAGTATTATTATTCATAT